TAAAAAGAAACGTTTGCCTGTGCACCGTGATCAAGTTCTCTTTTGGTGGGGGGCTCCGGTCAAATGAGTCTTTTCCACACTGGCTCTCCATAAAGTATGATAATGAGTGGATGTGAAGAATTCAGTGAGGGGAACATCTTGATTCTACAGTACGACACTCCAGGACTCGTGATTGGCTGACTCCGGGTTACTCGCGTTGTTAATTGGTCACCCTACACATGTAGGTTACTCACGTTGTTAATTGGTCACCCTACACATGTCCAGCGCTCAAACTTAACTCGACAACAACAGACAAAGGGCAACGATACCGTGACAGGTTTAAGGTGTAGTTCCAGCCAACCCTTTACTGGACAGTCCTACAAGTCTTTGGGTCCAGAAGTTTGTCTTCCTGAAGACAATTCCTCACCAGGTTCTCAGTCTTCTTCATTCATGGTCATTGGAAACCAAGGTTGGCATGATCTTCTCCAGAAAGAGTCTCTCAGACCAATGGCTTCTTGCCTGAGAAAATAGAATTGTCTTGACTTAACTTTCCTTTTTTTCTTGGACCTTATGCTAAATCCAACCAGACTCCAAAGCTACTGTTAGTCTAACACACTGTGTCACGTTATCTCCCGTTCTTCTTTTACCTTTGGCCCCCGCACTGGCAAATCAGAATCTGCCATCATTTCCTCCACCGCTGTCTCCAGATAAACAGAGCGATCTTGGGGCTTCACAAAGGTCAGCAGCACCCCCAACCTTTCTGTGCCATATATGGATGGTAATCAGACATATCCGTCTCAGCCCCCCCTCCCNACAGAAGAAGACGCACAGATCTTATCTTTGTAATTTGACCCAGCAGTGTGGAAAAACAAAAACAAAAACAAAAAAGAAAAACCTCCCACACACTCAACTGGAAATGACAGCAGTACCACTGGGTTCTGATGAAGTGTTAATGTTGCAGTGCTGCTAAATGAGTGCAAAATGTGCTTTATAACATGTTCTTCACTTCTCCACTAGATGCTGCTATATTGTACCCTTTGCTCTCTAAACTGCTTGTTCAACATATTTTAAATTTAAAAACTCTTGTGAACTTTTGGGCTTTGACTAACAGACGCATCAGTGCATATGTGGGAGGGGGGGTGGCGGGGGGGGGGCTCAGATGCAGGTGTAGCACCTTATGATGAGCCTACAAGAGGATATATGTGTCAAGGACATAAACTTGAGGAGACTGCGTCTTTATTTGTCAGCTGTTATATATCTAATTTATATCCCAGTGTATATTACTCAACAGTATATCATAGTATAAATATCAGGGGGGGGAGGGTGGGGGGGGGGGGTTGTTGAAAACACCACTGACCAGCAGCTCAGAGGTCATGGAATTTGAGTTTTTCACAGCTGAAAAAGTCATGAGGGCCAGACCAGCCCGTAGATCAAATCTCACACTGGTGTCTGTGATATCACGGCGTCATCTCCTGCAGCGCCCCGCCCTGTCATCAAGAAGATCGCCCTCGCTCCGTCCTGATGTGTCACACTCCATGAGAGCTGGCTCATTCTCATCCTAGGACATATCTGTCATTTCTTATGTGCGAGCAGACGGTTGAGACTGATTCCGTGGTCATAAGTTGATCCCGCGGCAGCATTCCAGCCGTGCCGTTAAGTGTTTCAATCGGATTTGAACGACTGCTTCGTTACGTGAAACACGGTCCGGGGCAGTACACGCCGTATTTCATGCACAGTGTGCAGTCCTTTCATGCACAGCATGCAGAGTTCACATGCACAGCACGAAATCCCATTCAAAGGCGGGGGACTGTGAGGGCACATGTCCACACACAGCGTTTCTGTCTTGGAGGAAGCGGTGCTGAAGGGGGCGCTCCATCCTAGGACTGAATGTAGGGTTTGTCCTAAAAAGTGAAAAATATGACCGTCAGCTGGCACCAATCACAGCTTGTTCTAGATTCTTAGCGGTCTAATCAAATAACATGCCTTCACATTGTTTCCTGCTGCAGTGATGAGGTCAGGGGGGGGGAGGGGGGGTCAGCCCTTCAGCCACTTCCTGTCAGAGTCCAGATGCTTCAACAGGTTCTCATGTCTGGACGCAGTCAGCGGTGTGAGAAGCTTAGAATTAGTTTGGTTCAACCACGGAGCCGCTCCACTCATTATTGACAATCCTGACCTTTGACCCTGTCCCCAAACGACCAAACTGTTTAGAGAGGAACCTCCGAGAGTCATTTACAGACGTTCCGTTCCACGTGTGTGTTTCTACAGGACCGTCTGCCTCATCCTCCTCTTCTCCCAGTATCTTGGTAAAGTCAACGTTCCAATGATTGCCTACAAGGACAAGAAATGGAAGGTGTTCCAGTATCCGCTCTTCAAACTGTTTTCTGTGAGTTTCTTCCGTTACTACATTCAAACATGAACGCTGTTTTACACCACTTGAAAATCATGAAGTTTCAGAGCCTTCGGACCAGTGATTAGGTACGTACTTTCTAAACCGCAAACCTTCACCAACGTGTTGGGCTGCAGCGCTCATCCTTCTGTTCCTACATGGTGGAGACACACACACACACACACACACACACACACGTCTGGGAGGCCTGAAGGAGGAAATTCTTCAGTTTGAAGTTGGGGAAAAACAGTGACCTTTTTACAGCCGCCATCTTGACATGAAACAGTGGGTAAACATGTGTTACTAATCACATGATCTAAGGCTGCGGGATGAAATAAAACAGAACCTTCATCAAGGTGGTTATTAGCAGCCAGGTTAAACTACTGCTTCATGTACTGCTTCATGTACTTGTCATACAGTACACTTCTCTGGAGCCTCTAGTCGTGCAACACGGTGTCAAACGAAGACTCTCCTTCTCCTATTTCACCTCCTTTAACTTTGGGTGGAGTTGGTGGTTTGTCCACCACACGCTGCACCTCTGTAGCCACGAGGTATGAACTTCAGTTTGGTTTGGAGGAGTCTCTCTCCGACCTCACCGTCTATCGTCCCTTCATTCAACATTCATCATATATATATATATATATGTGTGTGTGTGTGACACCAGAACAACTTAGGACTAACATGACAGGTTCAGCACTGAGGGAAGGATGGAACGTGAGTTTGACGGGCAGGTCGGTCTTTCCCTTTGTCTGGACAAAGGTTTGATTCCAGAGATAAGGGAGAGTCAGTTGATCACAGACTGGGTTGATGCCCAGGCTGCCACAGGACACTCCTGCAGTCTGGGGTAAACTGTGACAGGGTCAGGGTTAGTCTCCAGTCCTTCTGTCTTTGTACATGCAGCCAAAATAAAAGAAACCCATAAATGTTGACTCAAAGAGTGAAGAGAGGAAACAGCTTTATGACAGCCATAAAACACGGCCCTCTTTATAAAAGCCAAACAAAGGTCAATGTCAAACATCTAATTCCACACCTTTCTGTGAACTCAAGAACTCTGAGTCACTTTCACTTCATCTATACAAAACCACGGCTGAATGGCAGATCTGTGGTTTTTAATCCTGGATCTGTCACCACTCACCCACGCTGATTTCTTCTTCGCTGCCATGTAATCTACGTTTATGCAGGTTTTATTAAACAGAAGTAGTTGCCCTCTGCAGGGGCCGCAGCACACTACTTTTACCACCTGAATACGGGAGGTGGGGGGGGGGGGGGTTCTCGGTTTATGACGTCGTCCCCGTACAGCATTCTGCCATGACGTCACATGTATACGTTTGTTCCCTCATTTTGACAAGGACGGCTGTGTTCACTCTTTTTTTTACACCATGTTTTTTGTTTGTTTGTTTGTTTGTTTTTTTTACTTTTCTGATTCATTCAGGACAAAAATGGATAAATCCAGAATTAAAATAAAAATGCTAATTGTCAAAACTCTTTTGAGATTTGGCTTGGGTAGGATTGATGCCTGCTGTTCATCATTTTAAGCTATATTACTGCCACCTAGAGGACATATTTGTTCATAGTAAGTACTGCCACCTAGCACCATTAAATGACTTGCAAAAACAAACAAACATTTAACAAAAGATTTAACAGCCTCCCTGTACAACGACACGTCAGCCAAACTTCCTGCCTACTTTTCTAAACACGTGGACTAAAAGATTAGCTTCAAAGGCTTCAGGCTTCACATTCAAATGTTTTCTCTTGTTGGCGACTTGTTCATTACTTTTGTCGGGTCTAGGGCACCAGACGTGGGGTGCATCCCATACCCTATGTGCCACGCCTCCTGGCGTCGGTCAGAGTTTTCCTAGAAAAAGTGTAAAGACATGGAGCTGACTCTGACACTAGCCAGACGTTACATTCATGAAGATGATAGGAAAAGTTTTATGGCAATTGAAGTTCTCTTTGAAACGTAGCGATGTCATTTTTCAGGCCTTGTTCGGCATGTGTGGCGGCTGGCTGGTCTGCTTCTTACTCACCGTCTTTGACGTCCTGCCGTCCCAGTCCACTGAGTACGGCTACTCCGCCCGGACCGACATCAGTTTAGACGCCGTGACAAACTCCCCGTGGTTCCATGTGCCTTATCCAGGTGAGGAACGAAACCACTCCAATGACTCCAGTGTCACTACAACACAGCCATCCATCTCTGTTCATGAGTGAGAGATTTAAAACATCAACTTTGGAAGGATGTGACCTTGACATGACCTCACATGTCAAGCTTTACGACATCCCCCCAAACGTTGAATGGATTCACTGAAACAAATAGTCAGTCATAAATAAATCAAGGTCAGACTTTAGTGTTTTCAGTGTTTTCAGTTGAAACAGTGATATTTGGATGTGTGGAATTCTGGAAAGACCAGTCAGGGGAGACGGTTTCATATCAATGTGTTAGTTGTAAAATTCCCAACAGAAATTCTCAATGAGTTCCTTCTATGAAGGTTCAGACATTTATGGTTCACTGACTCTAACAGTGAACTGCCAGTCACAGAGTTTTTAACACTTTTTATTTCCTCATAGCTCCTTAGTTTTATTGAGGAAATCATTTCTAAAATTCTCACCATGTCAAAACAATCTCAGTCAAATCTGAAGTTCAATCTCTGCTGACATTTCACTTTCTTGCTCAGTTTCACAGTTCATGCTCTAAGAATTAAATGTTTGTTTGGCCACAGAGACCTTTGTTTCTTGACTTTTCCTTTTCTAAGGTTTCTTCAGTGGATCTCAGCTCACATCCACGTGACAAGTCAAATATAAAGATTCAGTGCAAAGTGAATGTGTTTTAAAACAGAAAACCTCTTCACTGAGGGTAGAAGAGCGGGACTGGGAGAAAAGGAATGTGGGAGGTTTATATAGAGAGGACTAACAAGACACAGGTGGGGAGGCTTGGGTAATCAGAGAGTCAGGGGGAGTCAGGGGGAGTCAGGGGGAGTGAGGGGGAGTCAGGGGGACGTTTGGGTTCATGTGTAGAATCCTACAGTTGGTCTATTTCTTTACCCACAGGTCAGTGGGGCGCGCCCACAGTGAGCGTGTCCTCCGTGATGGGCATGATGGCGGGCGTCTTGGCCTCTACCATGGAGTCCATCGGTGACTATTACGCCTGTGCCCGACTGTCTGGTGCCCCTCCCCCACCGACTCATGCCATCAACAGGGGCATTGCCATAGAGGGCATCGGCTGCATCATTGCCGCATTGTGGGGAACCGGCAACGGCACCACCTCCTACAGCCAGAACATCGCTGCGCTCGGCATAACCAAGGTCTGCTGCTCTGCCATCTTTGTTTTTTGTCATTGATCGTTTCTTCAGCAACACGACATGAGCCAAACTCAACAAAAACCTTCAGCAGGCTGAAACTTAAATTTTCATTTGTTTCTGTTCATGAACCGCAAAGTTCAAAAACTGAAACCATTTTCTCCACAGGAATCAATGTCAAATGGATGAATCGGTTCCTGGTTCCTGGATGATTGACGATTCAAACTTTTTGTGAACAGGTTCAAACAAGAAATAAATACTTAGATCTACCAAAAAGATCAACACAGTGAATGGGAGAGGACATTTCATTGGTCCTCACTTTTCTCATAGTGATTTAGGGAATAAAAAATAGATGTTGTCACCGGCAGTAAAAAGGTGTAATGACAGACACATAATAATGTTGTCAGTCTATAGATTTATTTGTTCTTTCTTTTTTTTAAAGCTTTAAATAAAATAACAGCCTGTCGTACCATGGCACAGACTAAAGACTTCTGTGTCAGTGTTCTGCCGCCGCCACCTGTGAAAATGCTTTTTATGTCAACCATTAACTGTTTATTGCACAGTGTGCAAAATAAAAGACAAAGACGTTGAGGTTTGTGCCAAAAAAGTGTCATTATGATTTGTTTGGGTCTTTTTTTTTTTTTTTCCAGGTTGGAAGCCAGACTGGTCCTCCAGACCACTGGGATTCTTATGATCGTTCTAGGAATCTTTGGAAAGTTTGGAGCAGTATTCATCACCATCCCAGACCCCGTCATCGGAGGCATGTTCCTGGTGATGTTTGGGATGATTGCAGCCGTGGGGATTTCAAATCTTCAGGTAAATAGGTTTGAATTCTCGTCATGCAAAATCATTTTTTATTTACTTTAGTTTGCTCTAGTTTACAAAACGGTAACACATCAAATAAAATCTATATTTTTGAATTACCTAATTAAAAATAAATAAATATATATTACAAATACTAATAAAAATAAATATCAGACCTAGAGAGTTCACATAGGCAGGACACGGGTCAAGGACCACCCTGAGACACATTTATCCACCAACAGACAGGAGACCTGAAGGGCACGACTAAAAAGTCGGAATTATATTAAAACAAACTTTACAAACAAAGCCGCTGGAACCACCACCGACAGGTCTTCACATGCTCAACACTAAAAGACTTTACGAGTGCGGTGTGCTAAAGTACAGATTTTATTTTTTTCCAACAGGGAAGATTTTAACCGTAATAAAAGGTAGCACGCATGCTATAAATTACAGGTGCTATTTTTGTAGCATTGCGACACAGGTGTGAGTTCCTACAGCAGGAAACCATGTTTGTGAACATTAGTTTACAAACACAAAGGCCCAGAGACTGGTTTGTCGTCCGACTGGACACTCAAACCCACGTGAAAACTGTCGAGCAACTGTTTACCTCTGCCATTTGATGTCAGGTGAGATAGCATAGCATCAACATGCTAGTCTCACTGAAAAGTTTAACATTTTTGAACACGTGACCACGGATGATTCGAGGGGTCAGTACTCTAGTACTCTAGTACTCTGAGTACTCTATCCCTTTAGTAACTAAACTAGTCTCTGGTGCTGGGAGAATAAATCAGGGGTCTCGAACTCGAATGGGACTGGGGGCACAATGAGGAGCCAAAAACTAACAACAGGGGGCGTCACTCTACATTGTACTGATATCTAGTTGTAGGCCCACGTGGGTGGATTGTGTGCCAGCAGTGGCCCTCGGGCCCTGATATTGTGTGCCAGCAGTGGCCCTCGGGCCGGGAGTTTAAGAACCCTGTGACGAATTACTTTGTTTACTATTTTTCTGTTGTGTTAAAGTAAGCTAATAATGAAAGGTAATAATGTATTGATGCAAGTTGATGATTAATCATGATTAATCAAGATGAAGTCACAGTCCTGGCTAAAGCTTGTCGTGGACTGGATCAGTCCCAGAACTGCTGAACATCTTCTGAAAGTCACATCCTTCATTCACACTCTGGGGTCGTCCAAATCTCCTCTGCTCCTTACAGTCCAAGAAGGAGACGGAGGTCAAAGATCATGTCAGAATATTCATGTTAAACAAGTGTCTGCTCCACACCAGTAAAGTCTTCAAGCTCTATTTTACTGCCTGTCTCTGCAACAAATATTTATACTAGACTTTGGCTGGAGAGCCCCAGTACACAGAGTACACCCAGTACACTGAGTACACCGAGTACACCCAGTACCCCCAGTCCACCCAGTACACCCAGTACACAGAGGACACCGAGTACACCCAGTACCCCCAGTCCACCCAGTACACCCAGTACACAGAGGACACCGAGTACACCGAGTACACCGAGTACACCCAGTACACAGAGGACACCGAGTACACCCAGTACCCTGAGTACACCGAGTACCCGAGTACACACAGAAGTAATTGTCTCCAGATGAAAGTTCATAATCATCACATCATAGTCCCACGTCCTGGTACACCAGTGGGACCAAATGTGAGCGGTTCCACCGGAGTCAGTCAGTGATCCAACAGTGTCACTGTGTTTCTGTGCGTCCGTGCAGCCACCGTTGACCGTTTTCTTCTTTTTTTCCCCACTGTTTCCCCTCTTCATGTAGTACGTGGACTTGAACTCATCACGAAATCTCCTCATTCTGGGCTTCTCCACCTTCAGTGGACTGGTGTTGCCCACGTGGTTCCACTCCAACCCTGGCATCATCGACACAGGTCAGATTGTTCTCACAGTAAGACTAGCTAACCAATGAAGGGATCGTGTCATGTAAACAAGGCCTTAGTGGCCACCTATATGTACTGCAGGTGTACGAACGTCGGCACATCGTCTTCATAGAAGGGAATAAATCTGCTTGAAAGGAATTGACATTTTCTACAAAGAGGATGATGTTTTTACTGTGTATCTGTCAGAAATATACTGCAATATATATTCATCTACATATATATAAATATATATTGAATATGATGTGACACTCCTCTGACCAACAACATGCTAGCTGACTTATGGTCGTAATTACTGCTTTGTTCCTATTGGTGGTGAATCTTCTCTTCGGTCAAACCGTCTCACGCTGTCGTGTGTCTGACATTTTGTCCAATTGCTGCATTTTTAATTGATTCACTTTCATTTAAAGCTTTTCTTGGTGGTTCAGTGGGTCAGTGGTTCAGCCACAGGTCAAGGTGTATATGACATATCTACAGACCAGAGTGTTGTCCTAATCAGAGTTTCCTAACACAAGTCTGTGATCGGATTATAAGGTTTGAGTGTTTCCAGGTTGTGATGGAGACGTATTTAAAGGCTTGTTATGACCTGTTGGAGCAGTTACTTTAGGTGAGAATTTACTAGCAGTAAATTCTCAGATGGCCCTGCAGCGACGGACACATTAGACCGTCTGTGTGAATGTTTAGTCACTGTAATTACGTATCAGTGTTTGTTTTGATAAGCACTGATACATGTAACATATGTTAACATATTTGGATGATGTCTACTGTCACTACTAAAAAGACGTCAGCAACGTTTGTAGAAAATCCTCCTTCTATAAGATGATACGCTGATGTTCACACACCTACTGTTACAGACACAATTTTGGTGGAAACCATTTACGCTAATCCATCCATTAATCCTAATTAATCCCACCGATCCGATTTACCGCTTGAACTTTTAATGCAACAAAGTCTGACCAATCAAAGCTCTTAGGAAAAAAATAGGAAGAGATCAATCCTGGGTCATCAGTTGATGGTCCTTCATGTCTGATCACCACGGACACCATCCTCAAAAGAGCAATCCTCCAGATTAAACGGCTCGTTTCTGCGAACATAAGACCTTGATCCCATGAGTCATGTGATGCGAGTGTCTCCAAGGAAAGTGCTAATCCAGAGTTCAACACTGGGCATGAGGGTTTGTCTGGTTCTTTGAGGTCTAGGCTGCTTAGCGTCCAATCCTCTTGGCGAGCCCCTGTGTCAGTGGGACGTAATCGTCCTGAGGCTGAGATAAAGGACTCGGCGTCTCGGAGTGTTTCCAAAGCCTCGGCCTACGAAGAGCGTAGGTGCTCGACTGGACAGACTGGTCCAGACATTTTCAGATGAACAGAAAGACTTTGACTTGCAGTGTGTACAAATGTGTGTGTGTGTGTGTGTGTGTGTTTAATTCCTGAACCCGTTCTTTGGCATTAATCAAAGCAATGCAGTCAGTCCGTTGACCCTTGGTAGGAATGTCCGATTACAGTCCCTTAACAGGAGTTCCAAAGGTCCGGTGTTTACTAAAGCTGCTTATTGACCAATAAACAACCGCCTTCATGAGACGCACCATGACCGATGTGTTCCTGTATCAGATCAAACTGCACTCAAAGTCACTCTTGTCTAGAACTTGACATTTCTCCTGACAAAACCAGTGAACAGGAGTGAACCCGCAGCCAAGTTCTTCCGTTGTTTTTAATGATTATGTTTTTCCAGTTTTAATGACCTTCATTTCTTCACAGTCTGAAGTGTCTGATATAATTACCAAATCGTTTTGTTCTTTTTTTCAAGTTTTATCTTCTGACATTTTATTTGATCAGAGTTTTTTTAAGTCTCAAAGGTTCGCAGTAAATTCAACACTGTTTGCATTAAAAAAAAAACCAAATGAACATCATGGTGAATCCTCACACAGACAGGCATATATGGGTCGTACGGCCTTGAAATCTAAAAAGTGTGAGATCCTTCCAACAGACAGATCGGAGCCAGAGACTGAATGGATTGGCTGTTATCCTGTCCTTCAGGATTTACTCGCAGGCCCCACTTGCTCTTGGTTTTGATTTGAGGGAGCTTGTATTTCTTTTTACAAGGCTGAACTAAAGCCTGATCTCTGACCTTATTGTGCAGGAGGCAAGAGCAAAGGAGATGCCGTCACAAGATTTACAGACATCACTGTGTTGAGTGATAAAAAAGGTGTTGTTGACTTGACTTCTGTTGTCTTTGTTTTGATTAGGAATGAAGGAACTAGATCAGGTGATCGTGGTGCTCTTCACTACGCACATGTTTATCGGAGGATTCTTTGGCTTTGTTCTGGACAACACCATTCCAGGTCTGTGTCTGTGTCTGTGTCGGTGTCAGAGAAAAACGTCAGTGAGCTCAGACAACTCATGCGATTTTGTTTGTTTGTTTGTTTGAAGGAACTGCCAAAGAGCGGGGCATCAACAAGTGGAAGGTCATGGGTCATGAGGACAGCAAAAGCACATGTGACCAGTCCTGCTACGACATTCCCTTCTGTAACGCTCTTTTACAGCGGTTTAAATGTTTCCAATACCTGCCCTTTCTTCCTTCTTACAAGACCACCCAACAGGGGGCATCCAAGTGAACGAGGGCCTACACAGAGGTTAGGCTAACACTTGCCCTTTGGTCCCAGTAAAGTCAAACAGTAGACTGAGAAAAATGAAAGTTGTACCTGGAAAGTTCTTCAAAAACATCCATCTGCTCTCAATCCAACTCCTCAGCAAATACAGTGGGTTTTTAACTGTTGTTTGAACACAGAAAAATGTCAGTGTGAGTCGAGCGCACGAAGCCGGACCTCAGTGGCGTTTCTCTGCCTAACTTTCCTCTTCTCTTTTTTAACAAAATCCTAAAAACATCTCTCCACTGTTTTCCATTTTAGAGCGCCTTGATTACGTTTAAATTCATGTCAAATTAATGTAGTATATATATGTATATATATATGTACTGTATGTAAAGATACTAGTACAAAAAATCAAAGGTGTTTTAGCTTCTGAATTCTGGATTATTGATAATTGGAATTAATTTGTGTAAGAAACAAACAACATTGAAACAGGTAGAAAATACGGGAGGCTGGTCCTCACCCACGAGCCCTGACTGGGAGTACAGTAGCCAACGAGGGACATACCAGACACTGGCTGTAGGGGGTGCTTTTATTGCTACTAATATCGTTTCTTATTGAAGGGCAACCTCAGTGGAGAGGGGGCATGTGAATCCTACCTCTGGGGGTAGGTTTGATCAGGAAGGTCATCTCTACGTGGATTACCAGATGGTCCAACTTTACCGTATCCAACAAAGGCTAGGTCAAACACTGACTCCACGGACGCTCACATTCTGTCACTGTTGTTGTCCACTGAACGCTGACCCCAGTGGGGAAGGTCCAAAAACTACGCTTAAATTAAATGGCAAAGCAAAGAGTTTTGGACGGAACTTCCTGCTCAGATTTCACGACATTCTCAGCTCCTCCTCTAAAATAAGTCGTCCAGGGACACAGTTCTGACTAGGATTCCTCCAAAGGTTTAAAATCCTGTACAGTATCTTGTTTTTCTCAGCGTTCCTGATCGTGAGTTGTACAGACAACGTTACGACTACGGAACTGTGTCATTTTTTTTAATCAACTTTTATCCCAGCATTTCTATTTTCTGTTTAGTGAAAACATTTGAATCGTTTAATCATTATTTTAACTCTTGTGTTAAATATTGTGTTTGTTTCTCTCAGTTATTCCAGTAAATTGTGGATATGTTTTGTTTGTTTTTTCCAAAGATTTATCATCAATAAACTCATTAAAATTGTTCAAATCTGTTCAATTAACAATGTCATATTTTAAATGTTTTATTAATACATTTTGTCTTTTAAGTTACTCTAAAACAATGAATTGTCTTAACCTGAAACAGATGTTGTGGAAATTGGAGTATTTTTAGTCAGTTGGTTTTATAAACATTTTTCCTCAGTGGAACTTGAACAATAAACAAACAAAAGTCCTGATCAATAGATGAAATATCTCACCGAAGTCCCGTTCACTTGAGAAAAAAGAAAAAGCCACTAAGAACCAGAACTTTTCCAGGATGGACTGCTCTTCAACTGGTTCTTATACATATAGTTATTAACATCCAATAACTTAACTAGTTAAACAAGTGCTCTGTTCTAAACAACGTGTTGAGAACAAAAAGATTTGGTGTATTTTCTGGACTATAAGTCGCACCAATGCCCTCTAGCGGCTGTCACTGTGAAAATGTCAAATTAGATATTTTAAAATATACCCAGGATGAAAAACAGTTGGACGTATAGTCCGGAATTCCAAACGGCAAATGGGAAAACATGGTACTGATCAACGTAGGTACAGTGTGAAAATCTGCAGCCGTGACTGTTTTCACACCACACTCCAAACAACGATTCACTCACGTGGAGTGAATCGTTGCCCACGACAACAACAAAGTTGGTTCACTTGCTGCGTGTCGTCATTTTAATCTGAACGTTATGTTTTGGTCAATATCGTAATGAAAAAGAAAACCTGCAGCCGGACTTTTCCGTGCTCCATAAACCCAGCTTTGAAGTTGGAGCTTTCATGGTTGTGTCTCACTGATAGTGCTTCTTGATAATCTGTTCTTTCCTTCTTTTCAGGCTCCGTGGCAGCAGGTTTTCACAGGACAGATTAGTATTTCAGCCTCTTCAGAAACAGAGACAGAAATATCAAAAACATCTCAAAAAGACAAATCTTTGGGGAGATCAAAGGTTCTCTTCTCCTGATGTTCAATCCCTCGTGGGATCGCAGGTTTCTCATCATGTAAAACGTAAAGTTGATCTTTACTGAGGCCATTTTTAAAGGTTGTTTCTTTCACCACCTGTTCATTGACCAGGACATTTACGTGTTTTCACTGTAGAATCTACAGTGAAAATCTACAGTGTAATTATTGGACACGCTGAGTAAAGGAGTGCGTCCCGGTTGTTTGTCTCTGCAGGAACTGAATTGTAAAAACCACGTGTTTGGAACCGGTGCCAAGTCTGACTGTAAAACCGTCATCTGGTCAGGGCAAAGATATACTTTTAAGATGGTTGTCTAACCTTCCAACTGAGTTGGCACATAACTAACTGGATTACTAAATCTAAGTCGGGATTGGACTTGCCAGACGGGACGGTTCATTATGTCAAAAGGCATCTGCGGCCACCAGGCCCTGAAGGTGAGGTGGGCGAGAGTCCGTCACCCAGCGTCGTGGATGTTTGACACGTCTGAACTGAATAAACACTGCTGTCATGTCTATGCCTTTTGGAAATCAGAGCAAACGATTGATTCCCTGCCGTAGAACACCGACCAACCGGTGAGGGAGTACAGATGGTGCAGGATTGTTGCTTAATCTACTTTATGCAGCTTTACTTCAGGGTACAACATATTGAATTAGTCTAGAAGGCTCTAGAACCATCGGACATTCATCAGACATTGAGCGGGTGCTGATGGGCAGCGTCCAACTCGGCCACTCGATCAAAGGTTACAAATATTTGGGAAGCGTGCCGTCAGTCCACCGTTACTTTGACCAAAAAAAAAAATCATCTCTTTTCCTTTTGAACTCTGACTTCATGTTTTCATCGTGTTTCATGTTCAGCTTGAGCAACGTGAGATTTTTTTTAATCTTGAAAACAAACGCACAAAAGTAGGTTTTTAATGTATCAAAGTTGAGGGCCAGGCCGGAAACATCCAGTACATATATATATGTGTGTGTGTGTTAATATATATATACAGATGTGGATGGATTCACTCTGTCAATGACCGTTGATGACTAACTACAGTCATGTTTATGGTGGAATAGAAGAGAGTTTCACTTCAGTAGTAACGTGTGTCTCACACTTCATCATTGGATTTACTTAAATCAAGCAGTGAGAAAAATGTTAAACTATTTGTTACAAAGGAAATCAGAGCAGGTGAAACAGAAACATGTTCTAATCAGGAACAGTTTTTAAACAACTTTAAAACTATTTACAATTGGTCTTAATATCAATAATTTACAACAATTACAACAAAAATGAGATTTTTCATACATTTTTAAACAAATCCTCCTTAATTTGTAGGTTCTAAGTCTTTTAGTCCTTTGGTTTTGGTCTCCTTCAAAGAAGACATGCAGTACTGTGAAGAGTTGTAGGGGGCAGCGTACCTTTGTCTTTAAATAATAAAGAACAAAAATGAACAGAAACTGCTGGGGTTTATATTGGGAAAAACATGTGGATTGTGGACCAAAGGTGGGGCCTATAATAATAAAATGTGGGACAAAAAGATAATATTTGAGTGAGAAAAGGTGAACAGTGCTAGCTGCTAGCTGCTAGGAACAGCTTGTGTTTCCAGCCTACAGGTTTTACACAGTTCTGTAAACAGTTCTGGACCGTTGATAAGATGATAAGTCGTAGAACCTTGTGGAGATCAGCAGTAACAGCAGGAGTTAATCTTTAACTTCTGTTTGCCTACCGTACGATCTGTCTAATCGGTGTCCAGTCGGGGCTAAAGCCCTGGTACAGGCCACCAGGGACAGATCATGAGGTCATGGAGTTCACCTCTTCTTGTTTTAATCCAGGAGTGGACGTGGACCTGGAGCAGCCACTACGCTGAGGTCACACAGTGCACAGGGACACCAACACAAAACCCTAAGGTGTGAGGAAACTGCATGCTAGGCCCAGCTAGCCATGCTAAGCCCAGCTAGCCATGCTAGGCCCAGCTAGCCATGCTAGGCTAGCTAGTGGCACAGAGCTGTTGCACAGGAAGGTGCAACAAAGCAAATTCTCTACAGATTCAATGTTTTCTTGTTTCTTTATTTTTGTCAGAACAGGAGTACAACTGCAGTACAACTGCAGTTCTGCCTGCTGTACTACTGCAGAGACTCTTTTCAAGGTGTAGGTAGTTTATTCAAAAAGTCAAAATCACAAGCACAAAAACCACAAAGTCACCAGTTCACAAGGCATGACCTCCAAACAAACAAACACTGATCCCACAGAGACCGGGGCAGGGAGGTATTTATACCCAGGGCACCAGGTGACGCCAGTGAGACTGATGACAGAGACACAGGTGACTGTGATGTCACTGACTCCACCCAGCTGACCAGACAGGAAGAGTGATCTGGTGTGGTAGGTCAGGGAGTCTGATCACAGAACAGCTGTCGTTGTTCTACATGCCTCAACTCTAAAGTTGGAGCATTGACTGACCACGCCCCCACATTTGGTACCACAAACGAGACATTGTTGTGTCATGGACTCGTGGTCTGTTACACAGAATGTGGTCAAAGGGGGGCACTGTGGTGAACATCAGCAGAAGAGAAGGGGTGAACTGTAACTGGAGTGCAAAGTTAACTTGACAAATCCTCACGTTAGCGCCCTCGTCTTCCAGATGGTAGCATTACAGATTGTTTTCTTTTTAAACCCACGGCTGTGGGAACAATTTGTGGAAACATCTGAGCTCAGATCTAATCTTCACCGTTTCCTGTGGATCAAGGGTTTGAATTATTATCCAAGACAGAGGTATCTGTACTGCATGTACTTTGAAATACTTCAAGAGTAAAAAAACACAACACACACACACACACACACACAGAGGTGAAAGTATGAACGAACATCTAAGATGACAACTACTCCTCTGGTCTCTCTCTCTCTGCAGAGTCTCAGTGAATTTGTTGGTTTGAAAACCTGCTCCAACGGCTCTGGGGGCATTTACAACAATTACCCCGGGGCGACAGAGCAGTGCAGCCCGGATCTGTTCTGGTTTTTAAGCCAAAATCCAAACCTGTTCTTCTAATGTCATATCCTCTCAACAGGTCACTCAGGTTATTGTCTCTTCACATCTATCTGACCACGTGAAGGCCCTGAGGTCAAAGGTCACCCAAGGCTTCAGACACTTGATCCTAATTAGGTTTGAAGTAGTTTTAGTTTTTAAATCGCACAAAAAGGAAACAGACTGATTTGTTTATTTGCAGAATTTATTTAAACTGAAAGAACATTCCAGAGGAACTTGATTTTGGCTAAAATCAAACTTAAACCAGTGGTTACTAAATTAGGTTTCTTTGGTTCTGATTGGACGTCATTACAGCTATTTGACGTCTTTATATATATATATATATATACTGTATATATAGGAAAGTGATTCATAGCCTTAAATATTTGAATCACCAGTTGAACCCACCCCCCCC